TTCATTCCAATCGAGTTAAATGCACTATTTATAAAATAAATATTGTAGTTATTTTGATTCATAGCAATATATGTCTAATTACAGATGAATAAGTGCCAAAATCGTGTGCTATTGTTGTTAGAAGTGTAGCAGTGTGCGAAAATCATATATGTACTAGGATTGCAAAAAGATAAAAAATATATAAAAAATATTGTTTTGTTTTACCAATTTGGCATATGAAGAAAATCTATCTATACTTATTATAAAAATAAGTCCCCCGGCCGCGTCTTTCTGTCCTCCTGTCTGTCCTCCTGTCTGTCTGTACGCGATAAACTCGAAAACTACTGAACGGATTTTTATACGGTTTTCAACAATAGAAAGAGTAATTCTTGAGGAAGGTTTAGGTATATAATTTATTATGCTTTTATGTAAATTAGCTGAAATACGGCGACAAATGTTGAAGAGGTCGCAAAAAATCTCGCCAAATGGGAACTTTCCACGCGAACGCCGCGTAAACTAGCAAAGATACAGTTAAGTAATGTACTAGAGAATTCAAAATCTATAAAAATGCTACAAAAAAGTCCGCGATAGCATATCTCTATCTCTTACGGTTGACTTACAATAACCACTTTTATGTTAACATTTTTAATTAAAAACATTACGTTATTTTCAAAGTTATTTTCTTTAGTTCGGTATTAATCCTTATCCAAATGAATATTTTAGTTAGCTTAGTCATTTAATGCAGATTAAAATTGCTCTTTACACTAAATCAATCAGATGAATAGTTTTTGAGATATCGTTGTTAGAAGTAATTAGTAGCGAAACATTTTTAATGCTTGGCGAGCATTGAGATGCCTACGGCGAGTCCATCCCCTCTGCCCCGCATCGCTCGACCGCCTGCTCAAGCTATATAAACCGGGCGATGTAGCGCGCGATCCTAGGATACTTTTTACCGCGGGAAAATATCTTATTTCTGAGGAAAAATACAAAAACTGCAATGTAAGAGTATACTAATATGTAACACCTAAGAATTTAGTTTTTGGTCATCTGAACGCGGGCGGAGCCGCGGGCAATGCTAGTATAATAATAAAAAAATATGTCATCGAAAACTACTCCATTGCTTTGTAAAGGTATATAAAGACGAAATATTTTACAAAGCCGCTCCATATCTTTTTGTATGCCATCCTCCACGTATATGATTTTCATTTGAGCGATAGTGTAAGACGTCCCACCCGCTGTATGTGTTCCCAGTAAATAAACTGGCCCTCCTATTAAGTGTTTTATTTACATTTACTGTACATATTCAACCCTTTTTATCCTCCCACTGTTGGGGGTGGGCCTCCCTTCAGTACGAGTGTGATCAGGCCATATGATCTCCCTCGTACTGAAGGGGGGCCAGAGATTTTAATGTTTCATAGTACGAAACCCTCGGTGTGCGAGTCAGACTCGCAATTTTCTTTTGTTTGAACACTAATGATCTAATCTCTGAAATTACAAGCTAAATTTGAAAAATATATCTATATTTATAAACAAAGTACATGTATACATATAATAAAATTGTAACTAAGTCGAATCTGTACATTTTGGAAAATCTTATTAAAATAAACATTATTATCGATACAGAGGCCGAATCTATAGTTTTTAGAATTTTTGTCTGTCTGTCTGTCTGTCTGTTACCGCATCACAGAAAAACCACAGAAGGGATTTTGATGAAATTTGGTATGATGATAGCTGGTTATCCGAGTCAACATATAGGATACTTGTTACTGCGGGAAAATATCTAATTTTTGAGAAAATATACAAAAACTGCAATGTAAGCGTATAGTAATATGTAAAACCTAAAAATCAGGTTTTTGGTCATCTAAACGCGGGCGGAGCCGCGGGCAACGCTAGTATATAATATAATTAAAAAAAGGTTAAAAGCTATCTAATATTAAGCTACGACTCTTAAATGCGGAACTATTAAGTATATATACAACTCGCGACTTACTCTTGCTTTGCTCGGGCGTCGTCCTAGGTACGTTGTAATTTTTTTGAGCGGAATCCTAATTCTTTTCGTAAAATAAAAGTATTCTAGATTACTTCTTATAGCATTAGCTATCTGCCAGTGAAAGTCCAGTCAAAATCAGTCCAGCTGTTTAGGAGAATAGCCGGAAAAAACGGACAGATAGAGATATTTCTTAAAATTGTATTTTTTTTAAGTACCATATATAAATAAAATTTAAATTTCATATGATTTATTAATAAAAACTTTGTAATAAATAAAAACCGACTTCAAAAAGAGCACTAAAAAGTAAAAAACAACTGATTGGTAGTTTTCATTTACTTTGCATTAAGTTGGTGTGCTTAGCTTTGTATGGGCTGGCACCGACTTCGAAAATATTTGATTAGGTATGTATTTAATAGGTAGGCTTTAATTACTTAGCCAAAGCACACCGACTTCGAAAATATTTGATTAGGTATGTATAGTAAATGTTTAAATAATAAGCGTCAAATTAAAAACTTAAGGGTACCGTTTTTTACGTTTTTTCCAAAACATACATTAGTGTAACCGGTTTATAAAAATTTTGTCAATAAAGTGCACTTCTTCAATGATAATTGATAAAAATGTAGTTTACAAAGTAAAAATTACCGATTTCTCAAATTTTATAATTTTTTAAGGGTGTTCTTACAAGATGACCATACAATGTTTTTATATTTTCAAAAAGTAGAGTTCAAGACGAAAAAAATTAGCCCTATCTAAAAATTAAACGACCATTTTTTCAAATGTAAACGCCCACTTGAAGTTGGGAGTGATTTTCAGCCTCTCGAGACCATAAAACATACTTTTCTCGGAAATGACTAAACATATCAATTTCTTTTTTTTTAATTTATTATATGTATTTTGAAGATTACATTCCCTTAGTTTCACAGAAATCAAAAGATTATACTAGAATAATCTTTTGATTTCTATGAAACTTTCTAGAAATAAAAAATAAAAAACTAATGTAACGCGGGGTTTTTAGGAAAACAACGGTGATCGCGGGGTATCGTGTCGGAACATGTACGATCCTGTAGGGCCGTGTTTTCGTGCGATCGTATAGTTTAGGCGCCCGCGCCCCCCCGTCTCCCGCGAACGCGTGAGCGACGGCGTGGCTCGACCAGGCAGAGAGCCGCGAGCGCCAAACGCGTAAACATCCGTATCATAACGATCCTCCCCGACTCTCATTTTCGCGCAGTTGTAAGATTTTATGTAATTTTTGTGTAACTTCCATAACCATAAGTTTTTCTTGTCAAACCTCAAGTGAAATAAATATATTTTTTAATAGACTTGTGTGAGAGTACCTATTAAACCAAGAAATAGTTAAAAACCGAGTTTTTTGCAAATATTTCGAAAACTTTGAGGTTATTGTAAAAAGTGTTATTTATAAAAGTTGTACATTTTTCTTAGACCTACAACTTTTATAGAAAACACTTTTGCTTTGCACTTTGCGTCCCCCCATTCCTCGGGGGTAGCTGGGCATGTGGGGCATTTTACGAATTTGTATTCCTTATATACCTGCTAATATTTTAAAATCATAAAACTTCAGGTTCTCAATATTTTGTCATCACCACCATCGCAATCTAACCGCTGCCGTTATTGTCATTGGCGCTGAATCTGACACCTGACGCAGAACTCCAGCAAGGTAGGCGTGCTTTTATTCCCGCTGTCCGCTTACCACATCTCGCAGTCTGTTTCCTATAGGAAAGTCCCGCAGTCCGTTATAAAAAGGCATTTCTGGTCATTCTCTCTTATATACAGTCCACTTAAATTTTTATCTTACTTAGAACCAGCTCTTTACCGCAGTTTTACCCCAAGAGTATCCGTAAAGCAGTTGGTATCGTATTCAAATGTTGCGAACTAAATTATAGTCTTCTTCCGACTCTACTAAACCAAGTATTAGCGGAAATTGATTGATTTGATATTTTATAGATTTTTTTTATGTTTGATTCAATAATTTAAAGCTGTTTAATTAAGAACTGATTACAATGACTTCTTTTTCTAACATTAGTATTTTCTTATATTCTATTTAAAACATGAATTAATTACTTAAAAAAACCATTTTCGGATATTCTGCTCGTGGTTGTCGCTGGCTGGATAAATCGGGTATTTTGAGGTTTATTGGTCGGGTAAATCAAATACTGTTATCTGGCAACCCTGCTGCCAAGTCAACTGTCAATTTCAAAATTGAATATTTAAATTGAAGTCTTCGTCACTCCTCAGTGACAGTGGTCTCGTACCTACTGGTTTTTCGGTATTTCTACCGATATGAGGTCTGTTCTACCGAAATACTGAAATGTAATGATTTTTTCACAATTTCAAAGAAAACGTGGAAAATCTCCCGATTTTTTTACCAATTTTACAGTTCGAAGTGGGCAACCCTTTTCATTTATGTTTTACGATACGGGGAATACCAAAAAGTCCTTCAAGAGTATATTGATATATTTATTTCCGGGACTTGTGTCTTATAATGTCTCTCTTCTAACTCAATAAGAATAATTTTTATTTTATTTTTAATTTTATTTAAAAAAGATCTAATCTGTCTTAATGTTTACTATGTCACCAAGTCTATTATGACTTAGAGACACCATCGATACCTATTTTGTAAACTGTTTTGGTACCTTATGGTCATATCAATATCTTTAAAATATTAAATGATAATGGAAATAATAATAAATGAACTTTATTTGAATGAATATTGTTTTTTTTTTCATCTACCGATTATGGGTCCAAATATAGCGATTTTTGTAGGCAACTCTACCGATTTCTCACATTGACATTCGAGAGTCCGGAGTCGAATTCGAGACCACTCCAGTCAGTCTGATATACGCCTCACTCTTAGTCAGTCATCTGTGATCTTCTTGTTCGTGCCACTGGTCTGTGATTGAAATAAAAAAATAGGATCAAAATAGTTGTATTATCTAAAATACATAAATAAAAGCAAAGAGGTTTTAAACGTGATATTTATTCATTTTGAGTGCAGAGCGCTATTATATATATCATGTCTCACTTAAACGACAGTAATAATTGCGCAGTTCGGTACTCCAATTTGATAAAGGACGTAGAATCACTTAGTAAGTATAAAATTACCACTCAATAATAAAACGTAAAAAAATATATATCTACTAGCGACTCAACCTCGCTCCGCTCGGGTTCGTCCCTAGTGAAAATTTAGGTTTGTATGTATTTTTTAATGCCGAATCATAACATTTTTTTTGGGGTGGACCACCCTTATCACTTAGGGGTATGGAAAATAGATAGTAGCCGATTCTCAGACTTACTGAATACGCATATAAAATTTGGTAAAAATCGGTAAAGCCGTTTCGGAGGAGTACGGTAACAAACATTGTGACATGGAAATGTTATATATAAAACTAGCGGACCCGACAGACGTTGTCCTGTCTACACGTCTTTAATTTGAAAATTTCAAACTTTTTTTAATAATTTTTTTGATGAAAATTATTATTCAAATTGTGAATCTAAACCATTCCCAGATCCCCTTGAACACACACAAAAAATTTCATCAAAATCGGTCCAGTCGTTTGAGAGAAGTTCAGTGACATACACACTCACAGAAGAATTATATATATAAAGATAAACTTCAACTACTTTTATTAATAATAATCGAAATACTGAATGTAATAAGTTTAACAGCACTATTACAAAATTAATTTTAAAATTATAATTCGAGATCGTTGTAGTTAAATAAATTTCTATGGAACATAAGGATTTTTTAAAATAAAAATAAGATAAATTACATTAAACTAAAAAAAAACCTTAAGTATATATACATAATATAATAACTAAAAAATATTATTAAAAGGAGTCCCTTTAGGCAAGGTTCCGAAGATACTGGCAGCGTTCCCCCTTTGAATAGCTAGACTAATTCTCTGTCCGAAGTAGCTGCCAGCTCGAAGTAGCTAACCTAACCTAACCTTTTTGCTATTTCTTAAAAAGTCTTATAGCGCTAGGACCCCACGGACCAAGGGTCTCGACACCGAAAGGAACAAAATCATATTCAGAACCTAGATCCCTGTATTTGTATGCTTTGGTTATTTCAGCCGCTTCACAAGCCGCACCAGCTCTGTTGTTGGTCCCATGTAGATGGGAAGGGGCGAGCGTGTCTGAACAGGTTGCATCCCATTATATTATTTTTATTTATAGGTCATATAACCTAAATATTTTAATTCAGGGACATTAATTTTACATTTTTCTTTATTGAGTTTCACATTTTCTAGCCTAAGTCTATCAAATACCTTCCTTAATCTAATATCATGTTCTTCTTTTGTCTTACCCCAAATAAGTATATCATCGATATATACTTCTACGCCTTCTAAATCTTCTAATACTTGACGCATTCTATGCTGATAAACTTCTGAAGCACTACATAACCCAAAAGGCATTCTCAGAAATTTATATCGACCAAATGGTGTATTAAAACAGCATAAATCAGAACTTTCTGACGTTAATTTTATGTTCCAAAAACCATTTTTAACATCTAAAGTACTGAAAAATGACGCACCTGACAATTTGCTAGTAATTTCATCTAACGTTGGTAATTCAAAATGTTGTCTTTGTATTGCATTATTCAGATCTTTAGGATCTTGACAAAGCCTTAAATCACCATTAGGTTTGTAAACGATGACCAAGGATGGGGATATGATATGGGATACCATAAGATAAACGCCTTGTAAAGCCAAAATTTATTGTGTTGAAAATTTATTTCAAAATATATCCGAAAAATACGTTAAAATTTTGAGGAATACTATAAAAAATGTTTTAAATGAAAATAATATAGACCAATCGGAATTCGTTTATTTTTAAGACATTTTTTTTAATTAAAAACCTGAAGTTTTATGATTTTAAAATGTTATCAGGTATAAAAGGGATAGAAATTCGTGAAATGCTCCCTATGCCCAGCTACCCCCGAGAAATGGTGGGACGCAAAGCGTTGAAAAATATATTTTTTCAATTTCCGGCTTACTGTAACGTTCTATCGAAAAATGTTTTCTACAAAAGTTGTAGTACGTCTAATAAAAATCTACGACTTACACGGCAGTACGGAAGATGTACTTTTTTTTATCGTCGGGAAATGCATTTACGCATAACACCTGATCCCCCAGGTGGTGATGTGGGGCTCACCGGCTAGAAGAGCCGGTAATACCCACTAAAACCCGACATCCCTTCCCCCCGCCTTAGTGGGACGCCGCAGGATCGCTTGCGCATAACTACTACGGCGCCCCGGCGGCAGGTCTGCCTAACTACTAGGCAGACCACCAAACCAATGGGGCTGCTCCACAGTCAACTCTGCTACGTCAGAGAGGTACCCGGAGCAGCCCCATAAAACCAAAACACCGCCCACCGAAGTGGGCCACCTCCAATCGGCTGCAGAGGACAGGGAGAGCGGCAACGAAACACCGACACTCCTCTTCCCCTGCAGCCCCACCGCGTCCGCCATCAAACGGTGGCGGCCCCGTCTAGGCCGCGGAAGGTAGGGAGAACGACGCACCGAAATACCGGCACTCCTCTCCCGCCGCGGCCTACCCCTCCGCCGGATGCGGGCTTGCGACCACAGTCCCGCAACCGGCACCCATCATCCGGTTGTGGGACCAAGCGGTCCCACCACCGGTGGCCGCAACGTCTTCAGCTCGAGGCCTAGACGAGCGGCCCCATCCAAGCCATTTGGTCCGCACCGGATTTCTCCGGTAGACCGGTACCACCCGCCGCCCTAAGCGGGTGGCATTCCCCTATCCGCCACCTGGGGACGCGCCCGGTAGGAGTTGGCTTCTCCCCCGGGAAGATGTACTGTGCCACCCCAAGTGATAAGGAAATGGGCAAGGAGATGGTGATGAAATTTAATTTTTAAAGTTCAGGAGCCCCTTGAATTAGTAATCAAATGACAAGAAGTTTTTGTAATTATTATCGAATAATTAAGTAGCTTAGAGTATACATATGCTATAGAGCGCGCGTATCGCTCATTGTCCATTTATACGAAACGTAAGCAGATGTTTTATACACACCTATTGATACATACTTGTAGATGAAGCGGTTGAATAGTGATGCGCCTAGTAAAACTTTTAGAATTTAATTAAAAAAGAAGTATATAAACATAAACTATTTAACATAACCATTTTTTACGCACATATAGACTTTATTATTTAAAATTACAGTATTTCAAATAAATATCTTTCATTTGTAACTCTATGTAATTATACTCTATGTAATGTAAATTAAAATTATATATTATTCTCTTTAACTTTACGCCCGCGTTCAGATGACCAAAAATCAAATTCTTAGGTTTTACATATTAGTATGCTCTTACGTTGTAGTTTTTGTATTTTTTCTCAGAAATGAAATATTTTCCCGCAGTAAAAAGTATCTTATATGTTGACCCGGATAACCAGCTATCACCATACCAAATTTCATCAAAATCACTTCAGTGGTTTTACTGTGATGCGGTGACAGACAGACAAAAATTCTAAAAACTATAGATTCGGCCTCTGTATCGATAACAATGTTGATTTCAATAAGATTTTCCAAAAAAATATTTAATGTACAGATTCGGCTTAGTTACAATTTTAATCATATGTATACATAGATACAATTAATTGCCTAACAACAGGTACAGATGACCTGAAGACAGCTATTCCTGCATTAACAAACATTTTGCGCAAAGGAAAAGAACTATACTCATCAGAAGGTAAGTATACATAATTTATTTTTATACTTTAACTAGCATTCCCGGGGCTCCGCCCGCGTTCAGATGACCAAAAACCAAATTTTTAGGTTTTACATATTAGTATACTCTTACATTGCAGTTTTGTATTTTTTCCTAGAAATGAGACATTTTCCTGCGGTTAGAAGTATCCTATATACCCGGATAACCAGCTATCACCATACCAAATTTCATCAAAATCCCTCCAGTGGTTTTTCTGTGATGCGGTAACAGACAGACAAACAGAAAGACAAAAATTCTAAAAACTATAGAATCGGCCTCTGTATCGATAATAATGTTTATTTCAATAAGATTTTCCATAAAATATTTAATGTACAGATTCGACTTAATTACAATTTTATTATATGTATAGATTTGAACAACAATTTAGTTCAAATATATACTACTAAATTACCATTCAATTTCGTTGTTTAGTGGCTTCTAGGAGTGCTGTGTTGCCACAGTTTACTGACATAAACATTACTCAATTTATTTATAGTAATAATTTCATTTGACTTTTGTATATTTTTTTATATTATGTATTTTTTTATAGGCAATACTACGTTAGATTCTCACCTACTCAGAAAATCTAGTAATGTTGTGGTTAGCCTCACATCTAAAGCCACAAATGAAATAACCACGTATGACAGACATGAATTAGCATTTCATATCGTAAGTACTTTGAATCTATATTATGTTTAATAAGACTGGCAATATTGCCTGGAATTGCTAATTTTCTGTTTTTTTTTTATTAAATGAAATGGAATGAAGTTATAGGTCATTAAATAAAATATGAAGTAACGTATTATAGTTGTGAAAGTCTGTTGAGTCTAGTTTTTTATTACTTATGAGTGGCATTATGATAGTTTTTATCTTAGACTATACTTGAATGTCCCACTGCTGGGCACTGGGACAAGCCTCCTTTCAATCTGAATAGGAACACAATCCACCATATTGGCCAAGCGTGAGTTGGTGGACTTCACATGTCTTTAAAAACCCTCTTTAGTCAGTTTAAGATATAAAAGTTTTCTTATTATCTTTTTCTTCATTATAAAGCAATTCGTCATCATGTTAAATATAATTCATACTTGAAGATATCAGATCACTTGATATTGCAAGCAATTGTGTTATCACTCGGCTCTTATCGACTACAATAGTGTAGTTTTTATAGATATACTAGCATTTCCCGCGGCTCCGCCCGCGTTCAGATGACCAATAAAAACTTTTTAACAAAAAAATAAAAACCGACTTCAAACAAAAGCACTAAAAATTAAAAAATTACTGATTGGTAGTTTTCATTTACTATACATACCTAATCAAATATTTTCGAAGTCGGTGTGCTTTGCTTTGTATGGGCTGGCACCGATTTCGAAAATATTTGATTAGGTATGTATTTAATAGGTAGGCTTTAATTACTTAGCCAAAGCACACCGACTTCGAAAATATTTGATTAGGTATGTATAGTAAATGAAAACTACCAATCAGTATTTTTTTAATTTTTAGTGCTTTTGTTTGAAGTCGGTTTTTATTTTTTTGTTAAAAAGTTTTTATTTTTCCCTTTTTAGTGTAGACAGTAGTAGCAAAGTAAGAATTCTAACGTGTTAGGCTTGTCGAATCAAACAAAATAAGCCCAAACTCAAAGTATCTACAGGTATTGTTACTTAAAAGAGGGTTTCAACCTTGTATACTATCATGTACTTGTTGTTAAATGAAATAAAGTTATTATTATTATTAATATGTTTTTACAATTTTGTTCTCCTAGGTGACTAGGGTATAACCAATTATTGCGGGCAAATAGCCAAGCAAAAACTGGGTGGATTTTTTTTTTATGTTTCGGTGATTTAAGAAAGATATCAGCCATGTAATTATATAAATAAAAAATTATAAATAAATAATAGTAATAAATAAATCTGCGAGTACAATCCTGTTAAAAATCCATAACTGTAAGAAAGTTACCACCTATAAGGATAGGAATTTTCTTACAATTCGGCATGTATTTAAAATTGCGGCTTTTTGAAGAAGTATATAAGTTGAGCGGTGGAGGCCTAAGGTTTCCAGGCTAGTATGTAGAGTGTGTGGTATAACACCTGTAGTTGATAGGACTATTGGTATTGTGGTTACTGTTTGCACTTTCCATTGACTCCTAAGTTCTATTGATAGGTCCGTATATTTAGCTATTTTACTAGAATATGTTTGTGCAAGATTGTGTGTGTTGGGTATAGCAATATCTATAAAGAATACGGTGTTGTTAGTTTTGTCGAGAAGCAATATATCGGGTCTATTATAGTGTATGGTTTTGTCGGTAATGATTGTACGGTCCCAGTAAAGTTTGTAATTAGGAGATTCTAGAATAGTTTGAGGTGTGTACTTATAGTAAGGTGTTTTTTGTGCCTGTGTGATGAGTGAATATTTAAGTGCAAGTTGTTGATGTATGATGGCAGCGACTTGATCGTGCCGATGCTTGTAGTCAGTTTGGACTATGGACTTGCAGGCTCCAGTAATGTGCTGAATAGTTTCAGAACTACAGTGGCATCGTCTACATAAATCAGTCAACATGTTGGGCCTTCTAATAATATGTTTTTGGTAGTTACGGGTGTCTATTACCTGATCTTGAATGGCTACCATAAAGGCCTCCGTCTCCGGGAAGAGCTCTCCACGCCGCAGCCATGCGTTCGACGCATCTTTGTCGACGTATGTTTGACTTAGATCAGCTAGATGTCTTCCGTGAAGTGATTTTTGAGACCATGCTTCTATTTTCTGCTGCTTACTAACTGTATTTTGATTTAGTTGCACGTTTCTATCGTGTAAATTAAGCGGCGAATATTTCTTGTCTATTTCAGTTATGCATTTGTGGAGTTCAGAATTTTCAGCTTTTGAGTGAAAATAGTTACGAAGTTTGGTTATCAGATTGTTGTGTAGGTTGCGGATATCAATTAAGCCTATTCCTCCACTTTGACGCGGTAAAGTAAGACGTTGGATGCAAGATTTAGGGTGATGTTTTCTATGGGTAGTCATATGAGTGTTAATTATTCGTTGAAATTTTGTTAAGTCGGTTTGAGACCAGTTTATTACTCCAAATGAGTAAGACAGGATTGGTATTGCATAAGTGTTTATGGCTTTAATGTTGTTTCGTGCATTTAATTGTGTTTTCAGAACCTGATTTAATCGTAGCTTAAATTTCTTGGTAAGTTCTAATTTAGTGTGTTTTTGTTTTATTTGTTTTGCTTGTTGAAATCCTAGATATTTGTAGGTGCTATTTTCGTCCATGGGATCTATTTGATCGCCTGTGTCTAGTGTGTACGTATTATGTTGTGTTTTTCCGCGGACAACTGAGTGTATTTTGCATTTATCAACTCCAAATTCCATACAAATGTCGGAAGAGAATGATTGTGTGATATCTGCTAGAGTTTCAAGGTCACTATAGTTTGATGCGTAGAGTTTGATGTCATCCATGTACATTAAGTGTGAAAATGTGTGGTCTGTGTTATTACACTTCAGTTTAAATCCAATATTTGTATCATTAAGTAGTTCTGATAGGGGGTTTAAAGCCAGGCAGAACCACAATGGGCTCAACGCATCCCCTTGAAAGATACCCCGGCGGATTTTGATCGGTTCCGTAGTTAATGATTTGTTATTGGCGGTCAACTTTAATCTTGTATTCCATTGAATCATGGCAGAGCTCAAGAACGTTATGAGGGTTGGATGAATTTTATATTGTTTTAATACATGGAGTAACCAGCTGTGAGGGACCGAGTCGAATGCTTTTTTAAAATCTATGTACATAGTGTGGATATTTCTATTCTGTGCCTGTTTCATAACTATTGCGTCTATTGTTAGTTGCTCTTTACATCCTTGGCTATTTTTTCTACATCCTTTCTGTTGCTCTACTAATATCTTGTGTTGGTCTACATGTCCGTAAATTATAGCACTAATACATCCAGTAATTATTTTGTATATTGTTTGTAGGCAAGTTATTGGTCTGTAATTAGCTGGATTTTTGGTGTCCGATCCCTTTGGCACCATATATGTAACTCCACGTGTTATAAATGTCGGCAATGTACTTGGTGACTGTATGAACTGATTTATGTGCTTGTGGATTAGCGAATGAGTGCAAGTTAGGTTTTTGTACCAGTAATTGTGTATGTTATCTGTGCCAGGTGCCTTCCAGTTATGAGTACGCTTGATAATTTGAGTGATAATATCTAAGGGGATATTTTCGAAATCCATTTGAACTATATGTTTGTTTGCTTCCCTTTGCATCCACACCGCATCCCTATTGTGCTGCGTTGGGGTTTCCCAAATATTTGACCAGAATTTTTGTAAATCTTCTAGTGATGGTGATTCAGTTGATTGTGCTGTGTTGTTTTGATGTCTGTTTGTTAGATTCCTGTAAAATTGTTTTTCATTGGTAGTGAATGTGTAGTTTTGTTGTTTTCGTTTTGTGCAAGTTAAGTATCTCCTAAGTCTATTTGAAGTTGCATTTAATTTTTGTTTAAGTGTGTCTAAGAAGTGTTGTGGTTCTGTATTAGGTTCTTCATGTTGTGTGTGGGTTTTGTATTTAAGTTTTATTTCTTCGACTGTTTTGACTATACTTTGATTTCTATTCCCTGATATGTACTGTGTAAGTCTACCTATTTCTAATCTATATTTCCCTATTTTTCTTTCAATTCTTTTTTGCCATGATGGCTTATTTTTACGTGTACTATTTTTTTCACTTAAATTAAATTTTGTGCCATTGCAGAGGGCTGCTGTGAAAGCGGCTGTATATATTATAGTATGTATGGAGTTAAAGCTTATATTATTTATTAAATGCTTCGGAAGTATTTCATTATTCAAATGCTGGACTATCTGTGAAAATTTACGAGACGATTTCTGTTTGGGAATATATGGCCTAGCTTCTGGGTTTGTGTTAATAAATCGGGTTAGTGCATTATTAAATTCTGTTTCAATATACTTCAATAATTCACTTGGGTGCCTTTCTGTCAAATTATCTTTAGTGCTTTGTGTCAGTGGATGTGTTAATTGTAGTGAGTCTAATTGAACAGATGTTAAATCAGCTGAGTTGTCTAATTGGATATGATAACTAGCATCTCCTGTTGCAGTATTCTGATTTAAAATGGATTGAGTGTTAGTGACTAGTTTTTGTTCTATTTCTCTTCTTATTTCATTAATTCTATCAGTGTTTATACTCTTGTTATTAAATATTAATCTTCTTTGGTCTGCAATTCTTTGTTCTGTGAGGTGTGATAAGTGTGGGTGTCTGGCTATAAATAACTCGAACAAATTTTTTCGATAACCGGTCTTATTGGTCTCTAGTTTGGTTACCTCAAAGTAGCACCTAACAATATCTTCATTGAGTTCATTTGACCATCGCATTCTAGTGTTTGTCGGTGGAAGTTTATCGGTTGATTGATTAGAATTCTGTGTTTGAAAACGATTTTCGGTTTTTAACAGGTTCATTACTTCATCTCTGATTTCGTCTAATGTACTTTGTGGTAATAGCTTCCTTCTTAATATCGCTCTTCGCTGATCTCCTATACGCTGTCGTGTTACTTGCATTTCGGGGAATTTAGTGTTGAATTCTTGGTGTAGTGGTTCCAAATAATTATTCATTAGTATAGTTTCACATTTTGTTATGTTAAGATATGTGCGCCATATGAAGCGGTTCATACTTTCTGTCCATTTTTTTCGCGCACGTGAAGGGCCAGCAGTGGGTACAGAGTTAGTGGCAGCTGCCTCCTGCACAACAGCTGTTGGCCTTGTTTGTGATGAATATGAAGATGATGGTGATGAATTGGATGAGTGAAATAGAGTATGAGTGGAAGAAGGTGACGGTATATTTGTGAAGAGAGAATGATTTGATGAGGAAGGAGATAATGAAGGTGATTGGTCGGCTGTAGCATTTTGTTCGAGGGGAACCCGCCTGCTCAGTCCCCCGTCGCCAACGGTTCGCATGCTGTAGCATCCAGCGTCGGCTCCAGATGCGCCCCGGCGACCCCCGGGTAGCGGCCGTAAACTATATCTCTTATTTTCCATGTTCTCCATTAAAGGGTTACCATAGCCATGTTAGTCGTGCCAGTAATATATTGTCACGTGTCCGCCCCCTACGTGAATCAGATGGTCGATTCGGACGTATGGTTGGATTTTAGGGGGCTTATTATTATTATTATTATTATTAGCCGTTGAAGAGTTCCACCTATCCACCTTCTGGCCTTACCATCAGATCAGGTCAACAATACCGAACCACTGTACTATCAACGGAAATAGAAACACTTGCAAAGTTTAAAGTCAATATGACAATTAGAAGTAGGTTAAATCCATCATTAGCTATTTTTCCACCCTTAGGGGTGGTATTTTTTTTTTTGAAATTTAAATGGGACCAATCTGGAAGTATACCCTTTCAAACATAACAAAAATTGTCCAAATCGGTTAATAAATGACGAAGTTCTGAGGTAACAAACATAAAAAAAAAAAAACAAAAAAAATACAGTCGAATTGAGAACCTCCTCCTTTTTGAAGTCGGTTGAAAATAAAATTCTTAGGTTTTACCTATTAGTGTACTCTTACAATGCAGTTTTTGTATTTTTCTAAGAAATGAGATATTTTCCCGCGGTAAAAAGTATCCTATATGTTGACCCGGATAACCAGCTATCATCATACCAAATTTCATCAAATTCTGTCCAGTAGTTTTCTCGTGATGCGGTAACAGACAGACAGACAGACAAAAATTCTAAAAACTATAGATTCGGACTCTGTATCGATAATAATGTCTATTTCAATTTTTCAAAAAAAAATTCAAAAAAGATTTTCCAAAAAAAAATTTAATGTACAGATTCGGCTTAGTTACAATTTTATTATATGTATAGATGTAACAATATTTTTTATCTGCGTCTAGAGGACAAGTAAAAACAAGTGTTTAATATTTTTCAGAGAAACCATAAAAACTTGTGGCAATTTTCTTTTCCGTATGAAGTGCCTGTGTTTTCGTATTTGTATGGCACTTTTGATCCCAACCCGATCGAACACCGACCGAAGCAGCGTAGGAAAATTAATAGACAAATAGCAGCTTCTGTGAAAGCTCCAGCAAAAGTGGCTAAGTAAATATTTTTCATTTTATTTACCTCAAAGATACGATATAATCTATTTTTTTTTTTGAGTAACTGCAAACGGATCTCTTAACAAGATTTATTTATGCCAATATCACACTTCATATTGGCATCACTATCACTATCATTGATCACTATCAATAGATATAAATCGCTTTAAAAAAACATGGGTGCTTTAGTTCTATTACCTTTTCATGGGTTCCATGGAGATCTGTCTTGACATTATAAACAGGGCTCAAGACGACATTATAGTTGTCCACATGACAAGTTGCTTGGCAGTTGATGCACATTAGAAGTCAGTTTTAATGTTTTGAAATTTAAGTTTTTGAACATTTTATCACTGTGAAGTCTATTAGAACACAAAATAATACCAGATTTATATGCTAGAAGAAATTAGAATATATTGAATAATAAATTGAAAATATTAAAACAGTTCGACCATGGTTTCCCTCTAACTACAACAACACGGTATATGATAAAATCTAGATCTTAAGACAAGCCCTTTTTATTCCATAAAATGTGTGTAATTTACATATATATAAATTAATGTTACAATGTCTGAACGGGTTTGGATGAAAACTAGTACACCAGTACTCTACGAACTAGTTCTAAAGTAACATATGTATATGCTGCTCATAGGAACCTAGGACCGCACCCGAGTGAAGCGAAGTCTTTTTTTGTTTGTTTGTTTCTATGTTTCTTTAGACGTGCTTATCTCTGGAACTATAGATTATAGACTATATTTTTTTTTAGAATAAAAAACAACTCTGAAGAAAAACCTTCAGCCGCAGTGGAATTACACAATTATTTGAAAACTAAGTGCACAAATAGCACGTGTAGTTATTTTCATTTGGTCTTGGACCCCACAAGTTTTACGCGAACCATTGAGAATATATATAATGTGTCGATTCTAATCAAAGATAATTTGGTCGGTATTTTTGTTGGTAAGCACATATTTTTATATGGTCAGGGTCGAGGTACGGAGGGAGAACTATCTATATGAAGAAAAAGTGTCCGTCGAAAAGCGTTAAATTAGGATGGCGCCACAGTAGCAAGTGGGTACATTTCGAAGAAAGCGTCAAAAGTATTATTAAAAGTTCACAAAAAATAAATCACTCTCTACGTTTATATCACTTCATCCTATTTAAAAACTCAATTATCTACTCTCTACTAATCTTCAATAGAATTCCCATCAAAAGCGACAAAAGCCACATAGAAACCAATACATATTTATTTATACAAGTACATACAAGTTTTTCAACAGGGCAGGCGGAGTAGTAATAGCTATGAACTGAAGTATTTATTTATTTATTTATTTTTGGGTGTGGTGCCGAGGTCGGCCCTAGCTAGGCCCTAGCTACGTCGACCAGTTATGGTCCATTGTAGCTTTGAACTGAAGTAACTCATAGGCACCTAGGGACGCACGCACTCGACGAAATGAGGCCAAGTTGCTAGTATTTTTTTTCCCAGATGCGGATACAGGATTGCCATTTTTGAATTGTGTCCAAAAAGGGAAACGACCACAGAACACTGGGGAGAAGCAGTTTATAGAATCCATTGATAAGAAGCGGTGGGCTGTAAGCTCAAATGTTTTTATATTATATACAAAACTGTCCAGCCAAATATAAAAAGACAAGAAAAATTCTAGATATTATGTTTGTTAAATAAATTTTATCCATATTGGTATTTCGCGTAACCTTTGTGGCTTTGCCAACTTTCCGCCATTTTATTTTTTTCGAAGCTTCCGGCGCATTATTTAATTATTATGTATGAATAGAAAACGCCTGAATAAATATAAAAGTATCATCAATATAATGCCCTTAAGTGTCACGTTTCCCAGATGTTTGAAGGAAAAGGTCGCCATATAAAACCAATAATTAAAAATGGACGTTTGAATTACGTATTAGTATGCACTATTTAAAAAAACACATGTTAGTTGTATTTATATCAAAATTCTTTGAATCGTCACACCTTATGTCACTATAATACTAATATTTATTGTTTATTTGAATGTCCTCTCTGCATTTGTATTAGCTTCATCGTGCGCCGTTACCTTGAAAAAAAAATTAAAATAGCGGCGATTTGCTAATTATAGTTTCTATATACGAAGATTCCATCTCATTTCTTTACAAATTACATCGTAAATAAGAATATTGCTCACAGGGCTCGGATACCGGTATATTTTTCGAAACGGTTTCGTCTTAAATACCTAAAAATCGATTTGTATTGGTTTCGTTTGAACAGAACGCTATATAAATCGTTTTTGAGCAGGAACAAAATTTAAACGTTTTTAACCGTTACTTTTCTTATTTTTCTGGGATATCCAGTACAAACTTACGAATAGTTTCATTCACTAGATGAGCGTGGCTTAGTTTAGTTGTTGCACGTTGAGCGCGGTCGCGTCCTGCGGATTAAACCAGTTTTGCAAAACGTTCTCGTTTCGTTTTCGTTCCGAACAAAAAGATGTACATACCTAATAGTTCAAAAAACTGTTAGGAACATTTAAAAAACGATATTTTCAGTAACGTTTCCGAGCCCTGATTGCTCATCGCTTTCTACTTATGTTACTCAATAAATAATAGGGAATGTGCGTGTTTTTGTAACGTGTGAGTGTGTTTTTTATAATCTTTATTGCTTCTGAATTAAGCGTTTATTAATATTTTTAATTATAATTATTGAAAAGTGCAAATATAGGTGGGAAATTCAAAGTAATTGAAACGCACGCCATTGGTCAGACCGAATGTGACGTCAGAGTATATCATAACAGCGCGCTGTTGTTTGGTGTTTGCGATTGGTACTAACAATCTAGACCTGTTCATTCGTTGATCGCAATGTTGTCATAGACTATGACGTCACGTCAAGTGTGCCAAAATTGTGGGCGTTTAAAGTATCCATATTTGTATGTTATTTAAAAATATATATATGTAAACTTTTTGGAAATGAATATTGTTTTTACAATTATATATCGATGTAATTTATTGTATAAAGAAATAAAAAAAATCATGCATATTCCTTATTGTACAAGTATTCCCTCGAAATTTAATAGAGATTTTTTTTTCAGGATTTGATCGAAGCCTTTGGTATAAAGGAGCCTTTGCGTCAAGTGGAAGATGAGGAATATGGCACGTCTGACGAAAACTAAAGTTAGCTCAAAAATGATTGAGCAATTCAAATGTTTTGAAAACTTGCAAAATATCAACAAAATTAATATGAGTTACCATTTTAAATAAATTAAAAAAAGAGGTTTTATAGGGGACTAAATAATGTAGGACCTACTGATATATTTTTTATTTTCTACATCTTATTTTATTAGATATAGAAATATATATGTAGGTAGGTACAGTATATAGTAAACATGTCGTTTGTGTATATTTTAGTCGCTAGTACTAGATATTTTTTATAAGCTGTTGTGTAAATTGAGGTGATTGTTTGTTTTTTCATAAATATTACTATATAGATTTAATTTTTTAATAAAAAAAGCAAAACCTCAAAGATTTGATCCAAATCGTTAGAGCCGTTTCCGAAGTACACGATATAAATTTATACATATACAAGAATTGCTCATTTTATATAATAAGATTCTAAATCTCCCGCACAATAATCGCGACATTTACAACTCATGAAAACTTTTTAAATTTTCGCGTTCCATAATTATTTAATTATGTCACTACGGGACTTAAACGCTTAAATTTTATCCGTAACCGTATAGTGCCACAAACATATCCGAGATTGGAATCCAGCCTTTAAATTACACACGTATTATTATTATCTATATGATCATAATTATAACATTAAAATATAATTTACTAGCGGCTCACCGTCGCTTCGCTCGGGTTCGCCTCTAGAAAAACAAAAACAAATCTATCCCATGGGAACCGTGCATTTTTCCGTGATTAAAAGTAGCCTATGTGCTATTCCAAACTATAATCTATCTCTGTGTCAAGTTTTATCCAGATCCGTTCAACCGTTCTGGCGTGATTGAGTAACAAATAAATAAACATCAATCTAAACTTTTACATTTATAATATTAGTAAGATTAAAAATATGTTGAAAAAAAAAACTAAAACAGCAAATTAACATTTTAATTATTCCTTGTACACTCGAGCTATGTCATTATTTTTACTCTAAAAACTGCAGCAATGTAATAACACGCACAATTCTTATTGCCTACTAAAAATGGTTAATTTATTACGTACATTCTAATTCTATAATTTAAGTCATTTAATTTATCACTTTCATGTTTTAAACATATAAAATAAAAAGGGATAGAAAGGGGTGTGGTTATTCTTTGTCTCTTTTTATCGGGACATCATATTTTAGATCGTCTTGCCTACTCTATGTGTCATTAATATATAGCATTATGTTTTTAAACAACAGTTGTTTAGTTCCTGTTAGTATGAGTAGATGGCGTTAAAAGAAGGTAGTGAAAAGAATCGAAATGAATATATCGATATTTATAATAAATATCAATATCGACCTCGATATCCCGAGGACAAAATATCGATATATCGGTCAAATTTTCAGTGATTTTCAGTTTTAAAATAATAATGAACTGTACCTATTTAGTTCAGTCTGGCTCAAAAATAGGTAATAGTATTTTTTATATAAAATACATATTATTTTATTGCATGAGAATCTTTTTACGGCATCTGAAAGTGAGTGACGCATGATGGCTGCCGCATACACACATACACGCACCACAAACAAAACATACTAGTCATGGACAATAAAATATTCTTTTCCCGTTCGTTCCTATCTTTTACGGCTTTGACTTCTCTTAAATATTCCGCTAATATATTCAATTTGAAAAAAAATATTGTTTTTGATACGATTTTGGACATTGAATATTTTGTATCGATATATCGGATCAAAATATATCGGCTAAAAGTATTGATATATCGAATCAAAAATATCTTAAGCTTAAGACTGTATGGGCTTGTAGGCTGTGGCCTACAATTCTTCTAGTGCCTATGACGTCATTTTAAATAATCACTAAAGAAGGCCGGTTTTAATTCAATTAAATTTAATTAATTAAAAATAAATTTTTAGAAAGCACATTTGTACAATAATAATGTATTGAATACCATATTTTTAAAGGTTGATACGTTTTGTATATTTTATTGAGAAATATAATATATTTTTTTATGAAATAAATGTTAGTTTTTGTATTTGTTGTATTTTTTTTTGTCAAATAGGCAAAGATTCCACCCATTGTATGAAGAGTATTGGATATTTACGGTAATGATTTTTTTTTAATTATTTGTAACATTTTAGCGCTTTGTAGTCTTGTCATTGTATAATGAACTAGCGACTCACCCTCGCTTCGCTCGGGTTCGCCTCAGCTTGCTTCCCAATACAAACTCTCATCCCCACTTTAACCCCCTTTAGGGGGTTATTTCCTCGATAAAAGTATCCAATGTCCTTCCCAGGGTCTCAAGCTATCTTCTTACTAAATTTCTTCTAAATCTGTTCAGTAGATCCAGAGATTACTCTCTACAACGTCACAAACTCAGAAACTTTACCTCTTTATAATATTAGTGTAGATTATATCTTTTTTTTAAATAATACTTATATTTTTTAGTGTAGACGTGACGGAGGAGGAGTCAGGAATAAGAAAGCTATTTTTACGGTAATTTTAGTTAATACTAAAACATGCTCTACAAAGCCCCTCAATTCACAAGTTAATGATATTTACCCGACGACACAAAGGAGGGTAATGTGTTTATCAGTCTATGTATGTTTGTTCCTATATGGCATTTTAAAAACCGAACGCTCGAACTCTGAAGACTAAACTAGGTACATAAGATAAAAAACCTTGACAAAATAACAAAATCTAAATGTAACAATCGAGGAATACTTAAATGATTCCCAAAAAAAAAAGTTTCTTAAGCTACAAACATCACCTTATCTATACTACATGCGTTTGTAACTTAGACTTCGCATACCTATTACCTACGTAACATCGATAGCAACAGTATAAAGACGGTAGATTTGTAAGTTTGTATGTAGGGGGTAATCTCTGAAACTACTGAATATTGATCCAATTCTAAAACTTTGTTCATCAATAGGAAGCTACATTACCGCCATGTGCTATAGGCTATTTTTTATTTCAATAAAAATGTAGGTATTTAGTGTCAAAAATCATAATAATTTTAATTTAAATCGACAAAAACTGGCCGCTGATCTGTTTGAAAAAAATTTATGACAGCCGAAAAGCGACATAATGAAGTTAGCTGAAAGCGACATGATGAAGTTAGCTGACAACTATTTGTTGCCATGGTAATCGTTGTTATTGTCTGACAATTGATATATTCTTTCCATAAATGATATTCTATAAGTATATGATTGTAATATGCCTTATTTAATAATTTTATTAATATATCATTCCTTTTACAAACAGAGAGTTGTGTCATACGGGATGAAATCTTTAGCTATTTTTGTTCTGTTACGCCGAAGAAGTATAACTTCTTACGTGCGTTTTTTAAATCTAAATGTATTATTTATTTTCGATTGCGACTCACCCTCGCTTCGTTTGGATTCGTCCCTGGGTACGTTTTAACGGTACCTAAGTATAGAATAGACTCTATATACATATTACATATATGTACAATGTAGGTATGACATAGGTGTAGAAAAGTTGGTATTAAAAAAAAGTTATATCCCTTCCTTGAGAAATGATTGATTTTCCATTCAATCTTCCACCCCCCTTTTCACTCCCTTATATATAACATGTTTTTCGAGATAAAAACTATCCTATGTCATTCCCAGGGTCTCAAAATATTTCCATACCAAATTTCATCAGCTGAACAGTTCCACCTATCCACCTTCTGGCCTTACTATCAGATCAGCAGGGCTATTGCGTATCTCAATTGACAGTTCATAGTGAAGATCACTAGACTTAATGCTCAACGATGAACTGTCAAACAGCTAGTTTCGTATTGGCTAACGTCAGTGACCAACTGGGATGATGTCATAGGCACCGAGCCTCATTGATAGTCACCGTAACATATTTTGACAAGTGTTTATGTATCGATAAAGTTTAAGTTGCGATTGTGTAAGCATAGTTGACATCATATTAATAGTCATTAGACACTATCCACTTTTTTTGAAAAACACTACTCAAGGTCGACGATACCGAACCACTACACTATTAACGGAAATAGAAATACTTGCAAAATTTCAAGTCAATATGACAATGAGAAGTAGGGTAAATTAATTATTAGCAATATTTCCACTCTTAAATAATACCACTCGTATTTAAAAAAAAATTAAACGGGACCATGAATCTGGAAGTATACACTTTCAAACAAAACAAACATTGTCCAAATCGGTTAACAAATGACGGAGTTCTGATGTAGCAAACATAAAAAAATACAGCTGAATTGAGAACCTCCTCGTTTTTGAAGAAGTCGATTGAAAATGGGTCACGAAGAAGAAAAAATTTGACAATGTCAATATAAAATTTATTGTGTAATCGAAATTTATTTTAAAATATATCCAAAGTAACATTAATAATTGAATTAATAGTATAAAAAATGTTTTAAAACACAACAAAATCGAAAGTGCATAATATTTAACGCCATTCAGACAAAGACAATAGCATTCCCAAGGAGGGTTGACGTCAGGCAGGCGGCCGGTCGTAAAACTTTTGCCAAATCCTATCAGCAGTACACTGAAGATGTACTGCGCCGACCCCAAGTGATTTGGGAAAAGGGCAGGGAGAAGAAGGTTGAAAATGGGTCACGTACATGATGTAGATTGTTGTACGTATCCTTATCTGTGGTCGTCGGTCGGAAGACTGTTTATAACTATACTCTTTGACTGTGACAAATGTTATGTCAATTTCAAAATTGAAATTTGAATTTTGAATACCTATTAGCCTATTATCTTTATGATTTATCCTATTAAAATATTTGGGAAGTCTTCCTCATCTGTAGTTTCCTTAATCTGTGTCCTCATCTCATCTGTGATTGAAGTCAAATATGTTAAAATACTACCAAAATAGTGTATTGATTGTCTAAAATACATAAATAAAAGTAAAGAGATTTAATTGTAAACGGATTTCTTGTTCATTTTTAGTGCAAAGCGCTATTATATATTATCATGTCTCAGTTAAACGAAAGCAAATCCGCAGATCGG